GTTTCCTTAAATGTCAGTTTCATTTAATAAAGTTCACATAAAGTATATGCAAGGCAAAACTATAAACTCATCCTTCCTAATACCGGTTTGCACGTTTTAGTTTATTCATATCGGCAAGTGAAATGCACTAGGGACTTTCAGTCTTTATGGGTCTGTTACAACATGGTTTGACTAACTGAATAACCCAGTTATTATTGAAGGTATCATCTCTTTGCACCTCAATTCTCTTATCTATAAAAGTGGTGGATTAGATAAAATGTAACATACATAATATAATTTCTCTAATTAATGGTGTTCATGTAGATGGCAAGCTAAGAATGAGAATTTGTATCTGATGCATCTTTATACCCTACAATAGCTGCTATGGACAAAAAGCATAAAATCTAATACTTAAGGAAGATTCAAATACTGCCTTTAGTAACGTAGTTACTTATTTGATAAATATTGATCAATGATTAATAAATACCAAACAAATGAGTACCTGATTAACTAAGTGAGAGAATAAACTAAAGGTGATATCTACATCCTTTTTAAATATTACATTTTATAGTATGGCTATAATGGTTCTTAAAAAATTTTAGGGGTGAAAACATTTGCAGATATAGTTGGGTTAGAAGCTATGTTCACTGCTTCATGCCTATCGATCCTACATCAGTAATAGGTGACCAGGACCCAAGTAAGCAGGCTCTAGATTTTAACAGAACTGGCTTCGAACCTCAGCTCTGTCTTTGACTTACCCATGTGACCTTGGACAAGTTACTTCTCTTCTCTAAACTTCAGTTTCTTCATGTAAACTCTGGAGATTATGATAGGTCTGATTCCAGAGTGGTATTGCAAGGATTAAATGAAAACACTTAGCATAGTTTCTGGTTCATAATGAGTACTTTGCAGGCTTAAACTATTATTAATTGATTTACAGGTTATTATTTTATAAACTTTGGAGCCTAGTAATGGTGAAATCACCCTCTTGTGTCTCCATTGTCCTGGCAAGATAAAACCCTTAAGCATTTAATAGGAGCAGATATTCCACAGTCCAAGTTGAATAGAACAGAACTGAACTGATTTAGGCGGCCATAGAAACAGATTAGCATCAACTCTGCCGCAGAGTTAGGAGCTACCTACTGAGATAATACGTTTTATGTGTTCACTTTCCCTTTACACAATATTTTTGTTTGTATTATCTTCATATTACTCTCAGCAAATCCTTGAGATGGATACTGTTATTTTTATATCTCTGTTGAGTAAAAGGTTTAAAAAATAAAATAATAAGATTTGAATGTAAAGTATAATTGAAAAAATTTTGTTAAAGTGATTTGCCTGGTTCTTAAAGTAACTAGAGCTAAGATTGCAAAGATAGCTTTTGTAATCCTGACTCTACCTTGGGAATTCACACATCAAATTAGTTCTGTGTTGTGAAAAACATCCCTAGGGAAAGCAAGCAGTTCTGATCTTTACCCAGTCATTTTATCTATGATACCATATATTTGGATCACTTTTCACTTACTTGGTGCTTAGTAGCTTTTACTGGTAAATAAGAACATATATGCTAGTACCCAAATTAAAACAACAACAACACTGATCAATCACTCCGTCACAACAGGTTTTCTATGTGTGTTCTTTGTGCAAAGTGAGGCATTTGTGAACATTGATTCATTCATTTTTTCATAGTATTCCAGAACAGTGTTTTTCTTTTACTTCTGCTGTAGTTAATGGCAATTATAATATTATACCTTTATTAGAATTATTTTGTTTAAATTACAAATATACGTGAACCCACCACCTAGCATATACCTTAGTATTGTGCTTATTTGCTTCATACTTTTTGAGAGAAATAAAATATTACAGCTCCTGTGGAAGTTAACATGAATCTTTCCCATTCACATTTTTAAGTTGTCAGGACATATGTATAGTCCCTAAATACTGTAAAGTATTTTTGTGCATACTTCTGCAACTTGCTTTCTTTATTTAACAATGTTTTCAGGATTTATCCATGATATACATGTAGATTCTTTTTAATTTCAAAAGCTATGAAATGCATATACCACAACTCATTTGTTTATTATGTGGTTGGTGAATGTTTATGCTGTTTCCAACATTTTGCCCCTAAAACAATGTGCATCCCTGTGCAACATTGGCATTTCTCTCAGCACACTCATAGCAGTGGAATTATGAGGGTAGACAGGGTGTGTATCCTCAAAGTTAATAGGTCTTCTCCAGTTGTTTTCCAAACTGTTGTTTACACTTTAACCAGAACATTTTATGTCAGAGCTTTAATTGCTCTATATGTTCACCAACACCCATTTTTTAAGTTTTTGCCAATTTTATGTAAATAAAATGGTATAATTTATTTTGCATTTCCCCAGTTACTATAGAAGTTGAATAACTTCCCATGTGTTTATGTCATTTGGTTTTTCTCACTGCTCATATGTTCAATTGAGTTTTGGGGGTTTTCTTGTTGATTTCTTGTGGAGTTCTGTCTATCTCATTGATATCAGTCCTTTGTTGTCTTCTACTAATATGTGTCATCTGTGTTGGGTTTTAATTTATTCATACTGTACAGTTAAACAGGAGTTTTTACTTTCTAATGTACACAACAGTTATCAACATTTTGCCCCATACAATTAGTTCTTTTATATATCTGGAATTTATATTTGTGTACAATGTGATTTAGAAATCTTATTTTTGTATAAGGATAGTCAGTTGTTCCAATACCATTTTTTCAATTGTTCATTTTTCTTACATCCTATTTCAATATACATGTGGATTTGTTTCTTGATGGAAAGTATGAACTTCTTTCCATTAATGTTTTTTTGCCTTAAAGTCTATTTTGTCTAATATTTTTAGAGTCACTCCAGTTTTATTTTCTTTATGGTATCCTGGTGTTTATTTTTCATATATTGACCTCTACATTTTCTGAGTAATATATTTTTGTTTTGTCTCATATAAACACATAATACTGGGTTTTCTTGAAGATTTTAATTTGAATAATCAAATGCAGACAAGTTGAAGGAATAAAACAATAAAAATATACCTGTCCTTCACCTAAATTCATTAGTTGTTTTCATTTTGTCACTTTTTATCCTCTTTTTATCTATCAATTATACCTTTTTTTACTGAACTATTTGAATGTAAACTGCAGTAATCTGGAGTGATTACCAGATTACACTTTCTTTATGTTCAGATAAACTATATATTTAAGACTTTTTTGGTGTATTTTATCCAGCATTTCTGGGTTGGAGGCCTGGAGCTTCGGCTTCAGCTGTTTTGGTGCTGTAAATTCCTCTAGCGAGTGTTTTTCACAAAGCAAACAGTCTGCCCTATTGTAATACAGAAGTCCAGAAGGAGAACAGGCTTCTTTAGGTCTCTTTCTAAGTATTTTCTAGACCTTTGCACAAAATAAAACTATTTCCTAATATGATTCCTTCCTTTATTAACTGTAATAAAATAAACATGGGTATACATTTCAACAGACCCAAATATAGAGGTATTTGCCTCCTGAGTTTAGTAGGTAAAGACACTTTTAATGCAATTTAAATTTCCTGCCTTGTATCTTGTATCTTGCATACTGCCATTTATATTCTCTTGTTTGTCTTCATTAATCTATTGCTAACCAGTGATAAAGATGGTTTCAGCAAAGCACACCTTTATAGTGGGATTCCTTGAAGATACCTGAAAATACTTTGTAACAGTGATTTTGATAAAATTGCTTTTTTAAGCTACTGATTTTTAGTTTAAGTATAATATAGTTTTTATAAAGAAGAGAGAACTTGAAGGCATTATAAAAACAGTAGGAAAGTACGTCTCTAGCCTCTTGGGCATTTAGTCTAAGAAAAAACCACATCCCTCCTCTCGTCCTCATAAAACAAAACAGAACTGGCATTGTATTGAATAAAGGAGTAACTTATCTATGCTGCCAAATCTGACCTTATTTCTCTTTTTGGAAATTGACATACACGTAGAATTTGCCATCAACTTCAAGGCTTTCTTTCAAGTTTGACGGAGAAGCATTTCAATATGGTTATGTAAAACAAGTATGTGTTTTTATTGAACATTCACTTTGATAGGCATTGTGTGTACATGTTTTATGTTTATTTTATGTAGTTACCTCCTCAGTTCTAACTGGTTGCACAATTCTTACCCCAGTTTTCAGATTAGGAAACACAGGTTTCCAGAGTTTATTTGCACTCCTGTGGTGTTATATTGTTTTGATGTTTAAACTACCTACTTTATTCAAAGCCAAGTACAGTCTGGTGGCAAGAAATATAGTAATACCCAAGGGACCTGAGCGAACAAAAAGGTCTTTGAGTTGCAAAAGGTCTAAATTATGCAAACTGCAGAAATCCTCGGTGGACACAATAATAACTTGTAGATCATCTTTCACCCTCCAGACCGGCAGATTACCTTGTAGATCCAATGTAGATTAGATTTCTTAATCCCTTTTGTGCAATGAACCCTTTTGGCCTTCTGGTGAATCCCATGAACCTCTTCACAGAATAATGTTTTAAAATGCATAACAGAAAAAACAGAAATTATGTTGACTAGCATTTGACCCCTGAGATTGTCAAACGTTTCTATGTTGTCCATCTCCCCTCTCAAACCTGCCAAACAGCTAAGAGACTTTCCCTATCTTCTTCAGAGAAGGTAAAAGAGCCACCATAGCAGTTTTGGAGGCTCTGGGGTGGGGAGGGGTAGGGGGTGGGTTACTGAGGGGATGATCCTAAAATGACAGTGTTTTCCTTTTACGCTTCATCTATCAATAAGCCTCCCTGCTTCCCTAGCCCCTCCATCTTTCTCTAGCTCAAACCCAATATTTGTCATTTTCCTTTTTCCCCAGCCTCCTTCATCCCTTGCTCAGCCCCGCCTACTTCTTTAGGCCCGTCCCTTCCTAGACTCGCCTCTACATAGACTCCTCCCTCCCACTAAGTCCCGCTTTCCCCTCTATCCATTCTCCGTTTCCTGCCAATCACACTCGGCCACCCTTTCGCCCCGCCTCTGAACCTACAACAAGCTCTGCGGCAACGGCCTGCCCCGCAGGCTGAGAAACAGAGGCTGAGGAAGGATGGACCCTGCTGCCTCCGGTGGCTTCTCCCAGGAGCAGTTCCGGGAGGCCTGTGCCGAGCTCCATCAGCCCGCGCTAGCCGGGGCCGACTGGCAGCTGCTGGTGGAGACCTCGGGCATAAGCATCTACCGGCTGCTGGACCAGGTAGCGGCCGGCCTGCTGAGCTTCCCGGGCCAAACTCCCTGCAGGACCGAGGGGCTGCAGCCTCGGAAGTCGGGACCGGGCGCGTCTTCTGTCGCTGGGAGGAGCGAGTGCAGGGGCGGTGCCTCCAGCTGATTTTGTCCCGAGCCCGGAGCTGGGAGGTTATTAGAATTCAGCCTTAGGTCTGAGGCCCCGCGGGGGTGTGGTCTGTTAGAAGTTAACTGTAAAGTTAAAACGTGGATCTGCTGATTCTTAACCTCATGCACCTCCAGGGTAGGTGCCAGTGGAGTGTGTATGTGGAAAGTATCCTCGGATTAGAATATAGGCGGAAAAGGCGCTTTTCAGAGATTGACTGTACAGGGTGGCTAAAGTGCGTGGAGAGGAGTGTCGCTGACAAAGGAACTGCTGTCATCTCTGGCCATTTCAGTGACTTTCTTCTTTTGCCTGTTGCCCCTTTCTTGTAAGTTGCACTTAATAACTTTGCAGCTTCAGAGAAAAACACGAACTGAAAGCCTAGGTAGGAGGAATAGAGTTTGCTATTAAGTACGTCCCCAGGCATTCCTGCAGGCGTTTGGAACCAGGTAGGCATCCAGGTGGAAGGATCCTATTGCACCTGAGTCCTGTCATCAGTTGCTCTTTGTGATAGCAGTTCATAGCAAGTAGGTTAAAAGTCACCCTTAGGCAAGGTAAGTGAAATCAAGGTTTCTTGGCAGAGGACCAGAGTATTACAGTGTTAGAGCAGGGAGGAGCTTTGGATGTCTTGCTATACCATCGGGGATAGAGCAAGGTGAGCAAGAAGTTCATAGTCTAGAGCTGACAGAATTAGTTTCCTACTGTAATTTCAACAGTTACCTTGGTGCAAAAGTGGACATGTTTTCAGACAAAATCTATTTTTCTTCTCTCTGATTCCATTGTCATTACCACCCACATCCAGGCTTTGCCAAGTTTTGTCAGTTCGATTGCTCAGACATATCTGACATATGGCCCATTTCCCTTCCCTATAGTTTCCTATACGATTGTGCCTTTGGATGGCATCTCTCACCTAGAATTGCAGTGATCTCTTAACCAATTTCCTAGGTTTCCATCCTACACACTACAGCCTAATCAAGCACCTGAGAGGCTATGATCTTATCATTCCATTTCAGTGGCATTGTTAACTGCGGAATCAATAACTATTATAATAGCTAATACATTTCATGCTTCCTTATGTCCCAAGCACTATTTAAATCTTTGCCGATATTAATTTACTTAATCCTTACATCAACCCTAATGTAAGGTGCTATGATTGTCATTTTTTTACCTGTGTGGAAATGAATCTGCGAAAAGTTTAAGTTGATTGTTCATGATCTGAACTGGGATCAGGATTCAGCTGTCTTGCTCTAGACCTGTGTCATAAGTCAGCTCCTATATCACCTCTCTGAAAGAAGGCAAACGCTGCTGGCAGGCTATCCTGAACTAGTTCGGTTTTAACTCACATTTCCAGCTTTACCTCTCATGACTTATCCATCTAGCATCTGTCCTCCAGCCAACCCGTAACCCAGCCACCCACCCACCCATAGGCCTGTGCTGTTTTTGCTTTTGTGCCTCTTATTCCACAATATCCATTGCCTGTGAGCTGAGACAGAGTGCCTGGCTTTGTAATGTGGATCGTTTCCACTTCGTATTTTTATGTAGCAGGGACCATTTCCCTCCTGTGGGGAGGACTTGAGTGGTATTCATAACAGTTCCTATGTCTACTATCCATACTATATGTCGTATTTCAGCCTATTCTAGGCATGAGGACAGTCGTGGTACATTGATGTAAATTAGAGAGCTTTCATAAGCTTGGAGGGCCATAAGCTTCCCATAGGTGTGCCACTGAGCCTGAGCAGCTCCATGGAGGGCCATTGCCCCCTGGCCATTTTGTCCACCATCTGCATTAAAATGTGGAGGCCCCATTGGGTCAGGGTACAAGCTCTTTCCTAGAACGCTTACTGGCCTCTCACATTATCCAGCATGATTTGCTGCCTGGCCCACTATGCCGAAGCCTCATTTGTTTTCCGGGTTGACTCCCTTCTTTCACCTTCCTTCTGGAAGAGAATTCCTTCTACTCTCCAGTTAGAAATGCTTTAAAATAAAATATTTTGTTGTTATTGTTGTTTTTTTGTGTTTTAACGTTCATGCTTCCAAGGAGACTCAAATAAGCATGCTGGGTTTTAAACCACTGCAATAAAGGGAGCACTTGGCGCTAAGTCCGTGAGCCAAGTTGTGATTGCCTTGTTTTTTAGGGGGAGCCAGAAGGCCACAGGGCTGGAGTGAAGCTGGGGCTGGAGACTGCCTAGGAGCCGGGCCCCATTCCTGGCAGGTGATATTGTCTGGTTACTTTTTCATGTCATAATCTCAGCTTTCTCATTGGCAAACCAAGGATAATCCTTATCTTTTAGAATTGCTGACCTCTCAGTGATCGTTGAATGAAATGATACATGGCAGAGTGGTCCTCAAACTTGAGCATACATCAGCATTGCCTGCAGGGTCTGTAAATTTGGAGTCGCGACCCCACACCCAGTGTTTCTGATTCAGTAGGCTTGGTGTGGAGTATGAGAGTGTGCATTGTATTTATCTTTTCTATTTTTCTTTCCTTTCCTTTCCTTTTGTTTACGTTTTTGGATTTTATTTCTAACTAAAGTTGCCATGTGATCCTGAGGCTACTGGTCCAGGGACCATAGTTTGAGAACCACTGATGCGTGGGGAGAATCTAGCGCAGTCCTCAGGAAGGTTCTGACATTAAGAGGTAGGAGAGTGACCTAGACATGAGAAGCAACGGAAACTAAAAGGTAAGATGAGAATCAAAAAGAGGATCTTGCCCTGGCTGGTGTGGCTTAGTGGACCAAGTGTCATCCTATGAACTAAAAGGTTGCTGGTTTGATTCCCAGTCAGGGCACATCCCTGGGTTGTGGGCCAGGTCCCCAGTTGGGGGTGTGTGAGAGGCAGCCAGTTGATGTTTCTCTCACACGTCAATGTTTTTCTTCCTCTCTTTCTCCCTTTCTCCCCTCTCTCAAAAAAAAAAAAAAAAAAAAAAAAAAAAGAATAAATTAAAAAACCCCACTTATTTGTATTGTAGATTCCCTATTAAAAAAAATAAAGAGGCTCTTAAGACAAAGGCAATGTTTAAGACTCGCCCTCCATAATTTTGAAGGTAGTGGCCACTTGGGAGTGAATGTGGTCCCCGGCAGTGGGCCTGGAAGCTCCCCTGGCAGAGAAGGGGAACTGACAAAGCTTTCCCAGGGGGGGTGCAGTCGCGGTTCGCAGGGGCTGTAGCCTGTGTTAGCGTGCCAGGGGACTCCATGCCAGTGCAATGGGCAGTGTGAAACCAGCCTGCAGAGACCCCCCTCTTTGATTTAGACCAAGTAAGTGTTGGACGGAAAAGATCAGGCTGATGGCTCGACTTTGTGAATTTCTTTCACAGTGACAGTTTTTAAAATTAAATATATTGGGGTGACATCGGTTAATAAGAGTATATAGGTTTCAAGTGTATATTTCTATGATGCCTATTCTGTGTATTGCGTTGTATGCCCTGTGCTTGGAATAGGCATGCCACTTGCCGCCCCATTACCAGAAGCTGCCTAACGACACCGCCTGGAGAAAGAAACGTGGTGATGAGACTCTGCCAGGGCTGTCCGACCCACAGCCTGCAGCCTTCATGTGGCCCAGAATGGCTATGAATGTGGCCCGACACAAAATCATAAATTTACTTAAAACATTATAAGATTTTTTTTTTTTGGTTTCATTAGTGTTTGTGTATTTAAACTGTGGCCCAAGACAACTCTTCGCCTTCCAGTGCGGCCCAGAGATGCCAAAAGTTTGTCTGCATCTGTGTATGTGACTGACCCCAGTTAAGGTTTCTGTATAAACTTTTAAGACCCTGGTTGACAGGTGCAGAAAACCACTCATCTTGTGGCTGCCAAAGAAAGACAAGTTCATATCCAAGTTCCCTTGCTTATTAAGCCTCCGCCTACCAACCTGCCCTTTTCTTCCGTCTCTTCCTGGCCTCCATGTATGGGGGCGGGTTTCAGATTATACCTGGGAAGCTCTCAACCAGGTTTACAGCCTAGCAAGATATTGCCCAGTTTTTTCTGTAAAGGGGCAAACAGTAATTATTTTTGGCTTCATGGGTCAAGACGCAAAGTGGAGAATATTATATAGGTACATATATAACCATGTAAAAATGTAAAAGCTCTGCTTAGCTTTTGTAGAGTTAAAAAATAGTCAGCCTGATAGATTTGGCAACCCCTGGTCTAAAGTATAGTTTTGAGGCCTAATTGCTCTGTCATTTTAGGATTTAGGAGCCCATGGTCCTTTCTGAGTCTCAATTTCCACATCTATAAATTGGAGGTTATTCCTGTTCTGCCAGAGTTGTGTGGGGATCCTGTGAGAAGATACATTTCACAGCACCTAGTATATTCCGCTTCTATGAGTATATCTGAAACAAATATATCAGTGGATGAGTGGATAAAAAAGGTGTGATATATGTTACGATCCCCACAAGTATGAGCTCAGAAATTAGAGTTTGATCACACACTCTTTATTATTTGGCCAAGTTTTACCTGCGCAGGGGCCACCTTTCCCTCGAAAGGAAAAAGGCGCGCCACTGTAAGGGTACACGGGTTTTTATAAGCAGAGCAAGCAAGCAAGATACAAGGGCGAGAAGTGGCAGTTAGCGATAGGCAGCTTCTTTCTTTTTTTTTTTTTTTGCTGATTAGGTTCAAGGCTGTTACTGGGCCCCCTACTCTTTCTCTGGTCAGGATGTTTATCTGAGGCAAGGCTCAACCCTTGCCCTATGCCTCCTCCTCATTCTTGTCGACTCTGGCCCAGCTGCATGGGGGCTGCACCCTGATATGTTTTTCTTGGTATTAGTTTCTCCCTTATCCTCAGCTCTGACCCTGCTTCTATGGGCTATTTATCTGAGTCAAGGCTCAGCCGTTGTCCTATCTTGTTACTAAGGGGGGCTCTAATTCTTCCCTTCATCTTGGGGTATTGTTTGTTCTAGTTTCTTGTTTCGGCCCAGGCTTGGCCTAGTGTTAAAGTTTGGCCCCTTCAATATATTTACACAATGGAATACTACTTAGCCATAAGAAGAAGGAAATCTTACCTTTTGCGACAGCATGGATGGACCTGGAGAGTATTATGCTAAATGAAATTAGCCAGTGAGAGAGACAAGTACCATATGATTTCACTTATATGTGGAATCTAAAGAACAAAATAAACGAACACACAAGATAGAAACAGACTCACAGATACAGAGAATAGTCTGATAGCTTTATGTCCACCCTCTCTACCTTCATAGGTTTATGACCTTGGGTGAGTTTTATGACCTCTCTTTTTATTCATTGAGATATCATTTATATGAGCTGTGACTGATCGAATATGTCAAAAGTGGTTTGAGATGTCTCTTGGTATGATAAAGAAATGCAACCATTCTAAGTTGTGGTTTAAAGCCAAGAACCTTTTGAGTAAACTTTGGAGTCATCGAAATGTTAGTAAGCTTAGAAACACATCTGCAACAAATGTTACAGAGAGTCTGTATCTCTAATTTTAAGGAGCTCAATCAATAATAAAACTTTGCCCAAATTAAGCTAAGATTTATACTTTATTCTTTCCTATCAAATTGTATAAACAATGATACCCCATCCTGGTGAGATGAGCCCTTGGTACTGGTGAGAGTATAAATTGGTACAAAGTTTCTTAAAGATTTATAGAAAGTATAAAGAACCTTAAAATGTTAATACCCTTTGCCCTACAGTTTGTCTCTAAGGAAACTTCCTTAATGAAAAGTACTTATGTACCAAATTGATCCATATGAAATAATAGATTATTTCAGAAGTATTTATATTTGTAAAATATTTGGAAACAAATAAAAAAATTAAATTAGGTGTGACCTCTCCATAGCTTCAATATTATATTGTTAAAAATAAGAATACAAACGGTTTATACCATATTACTCCCATTCTTTTTACATATAGGAGTATTTATTTACTTAAAAGAAATGTGTGAAATATTACCAATAGGTATTTGTGGATTATGGGGTTACATGCCATTGTTATTTTCTTTATTCTTTTCTTTTTATTCTCCAATTTTCCTATAATGAATATGAATTACTTGATAATTATAAAAAGTTCACATCATTTTTTAAAAGACAAAATAAAAACATGAATATGTTTACTGAGATCCTTTTTTTAATATAATAAATAATGGGTGAAAAGTGCTTTGATCCAAGAAATTGGGTGGGGCTGTTCAGCACTTGAAAAGAACATGTTATTGAGAGACTAGGAAAGGTGTTACCGAGCATTCTGTTCCTGTGGAGTCTGGCCTTTCTCAGCTCTGCCACGGAGGGAGTGTTTAAAGGAAGTTGTCACAATAGTTCATTCTTCTGTATTCACGTAAATCACATTGGTCTATTTTCCTCTTCCTCCAGCGCTTCTGTGTTCTTTTCTGTGATATGCTTAGGACTGAGGTCACTCGGGCTGTAATTACATTCAGGAGGGGAAAGGGACCAGTTTAAGGAAACAGTTTGTCTTAATTTATCCAGATAGCCAAAGCTAACTCCTGTAAGGTAGGGGAGATAATCATCTCAAGACATAATTGTCCCTTTTGCTCAGTTTGTGTAGAAAATGGGGCCCCAATATTCCTGAACAAGGAGCAAATTGTCTCACTCCCAAAGGTGATTAAAATGTGTGGGTGTAAATGGTGGTATGTATGAACTGTCAGTCTCTTGCCACGTGAGTGAGAGGGGAGGGGACAGGAAGGAGAGATTTCTCCAAAGGTCTGTCCTTCCATTGGGACATCCGTGGCACAGCACGTAAGGGGTTCAGATCTCCTAGCTTGTCATCTGATGACTGGAAACCTTTGGTGGAAAGCCACACAGCACGTAAGGGGTTCAGATCTAGCTTGTCATCTGATGACTGGAAACCTTTGGTGGAAAGCCACATACTTTTAGAGCTGGAAAATTCTTTTGAATTTCATTTCAATTTTACCTTCCGCTTCTTGCCAGATACTTTTACATATATCTGCGATTCCTAAACTGGGAAGTATTTATGCCTGGGTTATGCCACCAGAGCCAGGAGACCCTTGAAGCCCCATGATGTCTCGAAAAGCTTCACCGTGTTGACCTCCGTGACTTCACATGCATTTCCAGCATGGTGTTGCAGAGGATGGCTTCCCTTAGGCATGATTACCCAATAACACTGTTAGCAGGCGGAAGCTGAGTCCACCTGAAGGCTTTCTATTTGTTTGCTTTTGCACTGAAATGTAAGAGCCATTGATTTCACCTTAATGATAGAGCCTTTAGGCAAGGCGAAGGTCAGGAACTTGATGTTGCCTTTGTACAGAGTGAAAATGTGTAATGTGGCCCCCTCCAGCCCAGTACCCTGGCAGACAAGCGTAGTTGTACTTTGGAATCTAGAAATATTTCTCTCTGAATAAAAGGGACTAATATGAACTGACACTGATGTTTATTCTCCTTTTTAGTCCTTTATGCGCAAGTCCCTTATGTAAAACAGATGCAGCTGTTGCCAAACTCTGGAATTGGTAAATTGGTATTGATGAAACACTGTGCTGGGTGTCACTATGCCCTGTGGATATCCCAAACAGCAACTTGTCCCCTGAAGGCGGGCTGCCTGTGGGACGCCCGCACTTGGATGTTTAATAAGCATCCCAGACTCAAAGGCAGAACTCTGGATTATCCCAAGGCCAGAAATGACCTCTTCCCCGTTTTTCCCTTCTTAGAAAAAGGAACTCCTCATTTGCCTGGTTGTTCAAGCAAAGCTTCTAAGAGTTGCCTTCCATTCTGTGCTTTCTCTTTCTCCGCAGCTGACCTGTCCCCAGAGCAATTGCTGTTGACATTATTTGAAAGATCTATCCCTAAATCATTGACTTCTCTCCATCGCTGGTGTTACTGCCCTGTTCCAATCACTGTCTCCTCCTCTCTGGACTATTGCACTGTCTTCTAAACCACCGTCTTGCTCTCTTATGATCAGTTTTTTCTACCAAGCTGCAAGAATCATCCTTTTAAAGTTATACCCTATGTAAAGTCATTCATTGGTTACCTTTTTTTTTAATAGCAGTTAGAACAAAATATTTAAACCTTACTCTAGTTTACAGACCCAGCCCCACCCCTTCAGTGACCGAGGCTCCAGCCACTCTCCCTGGCCACACCCCCTGCTTTGAGTGCACCCCTCCCTCTGCCTGAGGGCTTTCCCCTGCTGGGAATGGTCTTTCCTCATCTTCCCAGGAGTGGCTCCTTCTATGAGTTTGGAGGAGAGGTTGTGATCGATGTTATCCCTCATAGAGCCCTTTTCTGATTTAGAAGTCTTCTTTTCCCAGTCAAGCCCCACTTTACCAGACAGCCCTCCTTGTAGCCCGTTCACGTTAGCTGGACACTGTCTGTGGCTGTCACCGTCACCGGTGCTCCAGCCAAGTGTAAGACCCATGAGAGCAGGGCCTCATCTGCTTTTTCATCATTGTGTCACCACGACCACAGGAAGGTGGTTCAGAAACGGTGTGGCAAGAACACCATCCTCAACCGGTTTTTATAGGCTGTGCAATTCGGCCATCTCGCAGCGTGGGAATCAATAGGTTGTTTCTGCCTGTTCTGTGTTTATAGCAGAGCGGACTTTATGAGTATAAAGTCTTTGGTGTTCTGGAGGATTGCCCACCAGCTCTGATGACAGATGTCTATATGGACTTGGACTACAGAAAAGTGTGGGACCAGTATGTTAAAGGTGAGTAACACCTACTGTTTGTTTGTTTTTTTTAAACAGTTAGAAAGTAGCATCTATTGTTATTTATTTTATTTAGTGTAAAGCAACAGGTTTAATCTCTATTATGTTTCACTTTTAATTTTAACATGAAAGTCTTAAAGGCTGGGTTGAAATGTGCCTTTGCTACTCCTAGGACTTGCTCCTTGGGTGCTCTTAAATCCACTCGTGCTTTCTCGGAGGGCTCCTTTGTTCTCTCCGTAAGTCAGTTGTCATCTGTATGCCTATGTGTCATGGAAGGCTTCTTGGAAGAGGTGGTGTTTTTGGAAATGAAATCCTGAAGTTTTATAAACAACAGGAATATACTCCACGCGAGGTGGTGAGGGTAAGGGGATGAGGGGGGTAACGGTGTTCCAGGCCCGGAGAACAGCAGGGGGAAGTCAGGCAAGTATGAAACAGTGTGATATGTACAGATCATGAGCAATTTGGTAGCAGAATATGGAGCTAGGGTGGGAAAGGGGGTCATCTCCCCAAGGGTCTGGTCTGGCTGCCAGTCCGCGGTGTTTGGAGTGCACCCTGTCAGTGATAGTTATGAAAGGCATTAAACAGGGGGTTCTCCTGCCACTGGCACGGCCCCCTCAGTCACAGTGGAATAGAACGACAGAGTTGCCAAGGGGCACAAACACTCCGAAGGACCCTTGCTGCGGTCGGGGCTCTTGGTTGCAAATAACAAAAAGCTAACGAGTGCCAGCTTAAGACAAGGAAAAAGAAGAGTTTATAGGGTCATGGCATTGAAAACTCTGTGGTGTCCTGGCTTTCAGGAGAGCTCCATCCAATATTTAAATAATCTCTCCATCTCTTGACTTTTCTCCTGTGTGGACCGGGTCCTCAGGCAGATTCCTATGCCATGGCAAAGATGGCCGCTGGAAGATCCAGGCTTACAAATAACCTTATAAATAACCCCAGACGAACAGGAACAAGAATTCCACTTTCCTATTGCTGGCAGCCAGAGCTCCAGAATTGGCTCTCATTGGCCCAGCATGGATCACACGCTTATTTCCTGTGGACATTTGTCATGGCTTGGGGCCACTTACTAGTTTCACATATGCTTGTTATCTAGTGGGAATTGTGACGCTCACCTATCCAAGGGAGAAACAAGTTTTCTCTCTCCCAGTGTCCCTGGCAGCCACGGTTCAGTCATGTGATATGGAGGTTGCCCGGGAAAGAGCCCCATGAGGAAGCAGGCAGCGTGCAGAATCCATTGTCTGGTGATGGTCACAGCAAAGACATCCTGACCTTGGGGGAGGCAGTTGCGGTGCTTCTAACCTTTGTTACTCGGCCTCAGTGGTTCATGCCGTGGTGTCTGGTCCACCAGACTGGCTTCCCTGGAACATCCTGAGGCTGTGGATATACCTCGTGTCCTCCTGGATATTCTGTGATCTGCCCGAGAGCCTTCACTAAACCACTTTTCAGCCTAAACCTGCCCGAGGGGCCAGCCGAGGCCCTGGCCGCAGGCACCGCCCCTGAACTAATCCTGCAGCCACATCTTGCTCATTTTCCCAGCTCTGGATTTAATGCTGAGCAAGTCCTGCTTAAACCACATTATCTAGAAGGCGGGGAAGGAGAATTTAGATGCTGGACCAAGATGGGGAGTCAGTGCTGAGCACAGAAAGGCAGCAGGTATCCACGCCTTCCCTTCCTCGCGTGGGCTGTCTGCAACTTCATGGCACTGATGGACTGCCAAGCTTTTTAGTAGATTTCCTTTCAAAAGGGGTATTAAATAATCTGTTTCCCCACCAGCATCTCAAGGGAATCTCTTGGTTACTTCAGCAGCCTTGGCTTGGCTACTTCTCCAAATGGCTGGGGAGAAGCTCACTGTGCAGCTTGGGGTCAGAAGGTGTTCATATGTCACCGAATTCCTTTGCCATCCCCTCCAAGAGTGGGCTGCTATTTGCACACAGTAGCGTGATGGACTAGTAAGGAAATATGGTCACTGCAGCTGTGGGATATATAGCGTAGGCCGGAGAGGAGCGAGATGCTGGGTTCGCCACGGTCATGCCACTTTCTCGCTGTTTAGGGAGGACGTTGCCTTCTCTGGGACCTTTATTTCCCAGCTAAACACGAGACCGGGTGACTCAGTCCTGAGCTAGCGGTCCTGTCATAAAATCTAAAGGGGGAAGAAAGGTCTTCAAAGCAAAACTGTTGGTACTCTAGTGACATCTGGTGGTTAGCCTGATTTTAAAGCCTGAACATTTCTTTTCAGGTGCCTGATTGTGTTTTGTTTCCTCTTGCCTGAGACTCTTGTTTTAGCTCTGAGGCAGACAACGTTTGTTGGGGTCTTTTATTTGGACTATGCTTTTATATGTAACAGACTGTGCCCCTAGGCAACAAACTTTCAGTGGTAATGAATCGGCTGGACTTTTTCTAAAAATGCATTAACTTTTTTTGTGCTCCCTAGAACTGTATGAAAAAGAATGCAACGGCCAGACCGTGGTCTACTGGGAGGTGAAGTACCCTTTTCCCCTGTCCAACAGGGATGTATCCTTTCCCAAGGTGCGCCAATACTCGGCTTTCTAAGTGTTGTCCACTGCCTGCTGGTGGTATGTCTGGCAGGTGTGGACCACGTTGTCTTTGATTCCTGCAGAGGCCTCTGCTAAAGCTATGGCTTCTTGTGCGGCTTTCAGAGACTTCAGGGTGTGATTGCTGGCCTGACCATGTGCAGAGCCTGTAATTGTGGTCACTGGAGGGCAGCTCCTACTTCCCTGAGAAGTGTTCTAGGGCTTGAAGTTGTTGGGCCACAGAATTGGGGACGTGGAAAGAACTCTTTGTAAAGAGTGTTTAACACACTCCCCCAGCGTGCAGGGAGGTGAAATGACAGCGGCCTCCTCACAGGTGACGAGGGCAGAAGGGGGCCTGGAACTCAGGCCCTCACCATTCCAGCTCTCCTCATCCCTCCTCATGTTTTATTGACCCCACAGCCAGTGGTCCCTCCATTACTGTTGGCTCTGGACCGTATGTATCTGTTTCTTTCCCTGAATTTCCATATTTCTCTTAAGATGCAATTGAATGGACTGTGGGGAGTTTTAGCTGCCACTCCAAGGCCCTGAGAAGCCCACGTAGGACCAGCCTGGGAGGACGGGATGGGAACTGGCTGGGTGGGCGGTGTGGGGGCAGGATGGCTGACAGGCAGATTTTCTCTTCAGTCACAGCGGTTGGCTATTTTAAATACTGAATTTCCATGTAAGGTCCTTTTAGCAAAGGGGCTCTTGGATAAAATATAGGAAGGTTTGTAAACCACTGAATCAGGTGATCACTGGGATCTTTTCTAGCTCTAACACTCTAGAAATCTGTATGCTCCTAAAAATAATTCTTCTCTAAAAAGCGAGGGAGCGACTGGGTGTGTTTTGTGTATATTATTTGTATGTTTTTGTGTCTAACTATGTGTGCCTTCCCTGGACGCTGACTAGATTTTAAACAACATTAGGGTTTTTTTTCTTGGCACAGTTCCCACATACTGCTACACGGTTTGTGTACGCATGGCATGTGTTTCAGCAAATTGTGGATTGCTTATTCTCTTAGATTTTAAAGGGTTTTCTCTAATCCTGCCGACAGTGGTACAAGGTAGGCATCATCATCCCCATTTTCCAGTTAAGGAAACTGAGGCAAAGAGAAGCTCAGAACTTGACTCGGGTTCACATAGCTAGTGGGTGGAGGAGGCAGGCTTGGGACCAGGTCCAGCTGTCCCCAGAGATGGTATCTTTACCAGGTCATGACCCTACCTCTACGGCACACAGGGCACTGCTGGGTAGGTACTCTCAGGAGTGAACATTTGGGGCTCCTTAAATTTTCATTTCATTGGCTTTCCGATGCCACACAATCCCATGGCTTTTTTAGTCTTTCTGTATATGTGTGTGTATCTCTCCGATAAGGACTGTTCAATTTTTGAGAACAGAGAAGAGTGCAGTTGTGAAGAACATTCATTTTGGAGAAAATGATCCCAGGTTGAGTCTGCACCTGTTCTCTGGTTTGCTCTGTGACCTTGGAAAAGGCCTTGCACATCTCTGGGCCTCAGTGAACTTGTGGTTCTCCAGTCATAGGCTACATGGCCCGCTGGACCTTCCAGCCCTTCAAAGACCTCCACCAAGTTGTAATCAATATATGTATCAGATTAATTTTTCCCTCAGTGTTGTGTTAGATGATGTCTATCACATCAGCTGAGAAAGTTGTGGAAGAAAGCGGGACAATATTCTCTGATATGTGGAAGAGAGGCGGTCCAGAGGCAAAAGCAACATCATTTCTTCCTTAAAACATTTAAGAACTTTACTCCTCATGACTTAGAGGTTGGGGGCAATAGACCACCCTGAAGTTTCTGAGTGAGGGGTGGCAACTGAGGATGCTTTAGAGGCTCTGCGGTGATATGGGGCCGGGGTTGTTGCTGCTATACAGTAAGTGAAGCTGTGCTATACTTAGAGTGGTTCCTTTTAGTGTTAACCCTAAAATTCTGTCATTTGAACATGTAAAGGACAAGGAGTTGAGCCCTGTCCACCTATGAAAGTCTAATAAGGTTTTGAAGCCAGATCTGGGTTCAGCTGCACCTCCATCACTTCAGCTGGGCCATGGGATCTTGGCAAGTTTCTTTACCTCTCTGATATAGTGTCACCTGTCATATGGGATATGTACACTGAACTCCTAGGGACTGGTCAGGATCAAAGTAGATGTTAAAGGTAAAGCACATGTTTATTACATGGTAAGGGCCCAATAACTGGTGACTTACAGTTTCTTAGGATTTTAATGATCTTCCCTAGAATGGTGCTGTAGACATAGCGGTTGTTCTGTGAGTGTTTATTGAGAGGAAATAACTGTTATTCCTGGTGAACCAGTGTTAACTCAGCGTGTACATCAGCCCACTCGATATTCAGGTAATTCAGTGTCTTCTGACCGTCACCAGTTGTAAGTGACATGGCTTGATTGTCCTTTAAGCATAGAGGTCAGTAATTCAAGCTTTGGGGGCAGTCAGGACAAGATGGAATGATGTGAAATGTCAATTGAGTGCTTACTCTGCTCCAGTCTTTCTGTAATGCCCCCACCAGGCCTGCCTGCTGGGCAGTGTCACTCCCTTCTACATCAGGAAACTGAGTCTCAGAGAAGTTGAGTCAATAAGGCCGGGTTCCAAAGCTGGCAGGTAATCGGTCCTCTGCCCGCTCCGAGTACCTTCTTAGAGAAAGGAGCAGTGGTTTCCTTGCATAAGGAAAAGCATCAAGAAATGATTCACAGGTGGGCAAGGTATGCTTTCAAATGATATACCAGGTGGCGTGAGGCATAATCTTGCAGTGCAGGGAAGGAGACGGGGCAGAGGGGTGACGTAACAGTACAAGGGAGCAAATGCCACGTGGGAAGAACAGAATCCTCTCCCTTTGTTTCTGGCTTGTGGGCCTTTCCTTCTGCTTGTCTGCAAAGCTGGTGTGGACGTCACGCCTTGACTGGCACCGCAGTATGTCTACATCCGGCAGCGGCAAGAGCTGGACCTGGAAGGACGGAAGATCTATGTGGTCCTGGCTCAGAGCATCTCCATGCCAGAGTTTGCCGAGAGGCCAGGCGTGATCCGGGTGAAGGGGTACAAGCAGAGCCTGGCGATTGAGAGCGATGGCAAGAAGGGGAGCAAAGGTAAAGCCGGGGTGCGTGTTGGCGCACCGGCCAGAGCTGCCCGTGGGAAGGCCGTGCTGATTGGGAGGCGCGTAAATGCATGATGCTTGTTCCCTGAGGTCAGAGAATGGACTGGGCAGGTCTGCAAAACAAGCAAGGAATGAACACCGGGGGAGAGACTCAGTTCGTCCCAGAAACTTGGCTCGGGTGCAAGGCGGATGTTTAAATCTGACTCACTCCATCCTTTACTGACTAGTCCAGACGGAATCAGAACATCAAAGTAAGCCAGAGGGCTTAGAAATGAGTTCAGGCTGATCCTGTGGATAGGGCGAAGAGCTGGTTTTGGGGACACATCTGCTCCTCAGCAGAAACCTAGCGACTCAGAGCCTGCCTATCTTGTGTTCAAACCACAAGAAGAGCTGGGGGCAGAGAGCGGGGCATATGTCCTCCTGCCCCACTGGAATGAGGGTAGCCTTGAATCTGCAGCAAAATCCGAACCGCAGTTCTGACGCCTGTTAGATTTGCCACCTTGACAGGTGAATGAGCTTTTCTAAGTCTCCATGTTCTCATTTATACACTGGAGTTTAATTTCACCAACTCCTTACAATTGTTTGGTTAAAGAGCGTGAGCAATACCACATTTTGCTGTGTATAATGCACACCCACATTTTCTGAGTGTTATATGAGGAATTATCATACCCATGGTATGTAATCATTATACCCATGTATAATGCGCGCCATTATTTTTCCCTTAAAAATTTGGGCCCAAAAGTGTGTGTTATACACGGCAAAACATGGTAATGAGATACTATATCCAAGTGTCTAGCACTTGCCAGGTGTCTAATAAATAGCAGGAAAATGTACCTTGGCTATGTTTCCGAAAATGTTTATGTAGAAATGTCCCAAAAGACAAGGCAGAGGAGAGATGTCCACTGAATTACAGGTTACCTCCCACCTTTTTCCCTGGGTCTGAGCCTGAAGGTGGACGGTCCATGGGTTTGTTGCTGTACCGTTCTAACATGTTCTCTCCTTCTGAATTGTCCTTTCTTTCCCTCTCCAGTTTTCATGTATTACTTCGATAACCCGGGTGGCCAAATTCCGTCCTGGCTCATTAACTGGGCTGCCAAGGTGAGATCCCAGGAGGCAGGAGGGGGAGGTGTGTTTGACAAATGTTGACTTTAGCCCATAGGGCTGTCAGGCCTAAGAGACACGCTGTCTCAAGCCTAATGAGGCTCTTTTATGAAGCAGCTTGGTTGAGTGACCGCGGTTAGGACTGGGGTTGCTAACAACGCCCAGGATGAAGCTGGGACAAAAGACAAAGACTGCTTCGCTGGAATGCCAGCCCCTCCTTGCTAGTGCCCCGAGACCCCCCAGATCCCTCTCTGGAACCTCAGGACAATAGCCTGCTCCTTGTAGGAACAATAGTGCCTTTGGACCCTGTATCTGCTTACAGAGCAGTAAGACAGGCTGACCTCGCTCGGCAGACAACCAGACGTCTCGAGCCTGGGCAAAGCCTCCTGTTCTGTGATTGTTGTTTTGTGGTGTTGGTCTGTAAGTAGAGGGGGCCACAGTGGTTGCCCAGATCACTAGAGATTGCCTAGGGGCCCGGCTTCTCGGGGACCAATTCAGCTTGCTTCATTTAAGTCCTGCTTACTGGCTGGAGGGCTCAACGGGTCCCCGGGGAGAGTGAGAAATCTCACAGGCTTTGGGTCAGACCCATGTGAGTTTGAATCCAGGCCCTACATCGATTCTGTGACCTATGGAAGCCACTGAGTTTTCCCCCTTTAAAAAGGGAGATGGATATTACCTACCTCATAGAGTGGGAGTAAATAAGACAATGTTTGGAGAAAGTCTTGCAGTGATCAGCACTAACTAAACAATAAAATGTCCAACGTCATGCCCCCAAATCCTTACCATTCTGTTATTCTGTAAAGCGAGTCCTCTCATTTCTTTAGAAGAACTGAACATCCCAGCCCAATCCCATCTCCCATGTTTCCTTTTACTTCTCAAGAAACGATGTCTCAAATTGTCTTAGATTTTCACAAGCAAAAGCCAAACTATAAGGCGCTGCCTTGCAACAGTGGCCTCTGCGGTCTGGCGTGGCCCGCGCTCTGGATCTTACCTGTGTCATCGTCTGTGGTAGCAGCCTGCTGAAAGCCAGCCCAAGGCCCGGTTGTCTTTTATTCTTGCCACTGCCCTTTGTTTACCTGAGTTACATCCCAGAGAATCGAAGTGATGGCTATGAGGGCATAGAAGTGACAGTCTCCTTTGCTTTGCAGAGTGGAGTCCCTAACTTCCTGAAAGACATGGCAAAAGCCTGTCAAACCTACCTCCAGAAAACCTAAGAAAGGGACTCAGGAACCCTGTGCCCATGGACTGCTGTCTTCAGAAGTGCCACAGCCCACGGACGCCACCCTTCCTTTCGCTCTTCCATCTCCAGAGGCCTTCACGCTCTCCCTGCAGCGCACGGGCCCTGAGCGTGTGTGCCTGCGGCCTAGCTTCCTTTCCTGCTCTCCGCTCTCTGGGACCCCGCTGCCTCCTTCCACTGCTGAATTTGGGTCAGATTAGGGAAACTGCTTTCCACTTGTTTGTTTTTCAAAAGGCAAGTCCTCAGTAGGGAACACAATCACCCCATTGTGCCCCTCGAAGGGGATGGGTGGGTGGAGGTGTGACTACAAAACGTAGGGTAGGCATGGCCTATCCAGGCAAGCAGGCTCCAGCCCCGAATGTGGTTCCTTGAGACTCAGGAGGGGCTGCTGGAAGTTACATTCCCTTTAGAGTTGACTTTCAGTGCACCAAGCCTGGGAGACTGTAGATGTCCATTTGCCATAAGCTTTGGTGACTTGACTTAGCTGGGATTTGAGGTGATAATCCAATAAGTCTCTGCCCATGCCCACTCCTGGAGAATCACAAGCTGTTTTCATTTCAAAGTATCTTGAAAAAAACAAAACTGTGTAAGCCTCACTAAGCCCATAATGCGATAACTGTTTTTCCCTCATCATCCATGTCTGGGTTTCTCTCCATCCTGTTTGCCACTGGGGAAAGGTTTATTTAATGTCACTAGCTCTGCATTTTACTGGAAACTAGCTCTGCATTTTACTGGAAACTGAGGCACCAGGATGGTTCTGGTAGTTAGCAAAAGCCAAAAGGCTTCGCACACAGCACTGTGTTCAAGTGTCCTTATATGCAATAAGATGAATTTCCCTTCTAGAATCTTTGAAGATGTCGAAGGGATCGTTCACAGCCAGGGAAATTTTAATTAGTGACTTGGTTGACTCTGCACTTTTTTTCTCAGGAATTGTACCGAAATTATCTGCCTCTTCCACCACTGAGAGAGTTCTGGTTTCCTGTTTTCTCCTGAATTTTGGTAGGGCAAGAAAATATTCTGTGATTCAGCCTTGATGATCTCAGGGAAATATTTTAACCACAGTGTGTGACAGTATCAAACCTTGATCAACAGGCATAGAAATTCAGGATGTAAAGCCAGAACAAGGGTGTTACTAAAATGCAATAGCTCAGACTGTGTATTTTCTTTCCAGGAGGGAAAGTTATTGAATACCAAATAAATACAGAGTGGCTTATGTGTGCCTTGTCTGCCGCCTCCTTCCTACCTTGTTCCTTTTGGGAGAACAAATCAATTTGGTCTCTTGTTTACAAGTCACATCCAGCCTAACTCATGGACTTGAACAAAGGAAAGAATTTGAGCCTCATGTACCTGCAAGGCTGGGTGAAGAGCAGCCTCAGGGAGGTGTTGGTACAGGGGCTCAAACTGACATCAGAACTCAGCTCTTTTCTTCTTCAAGTTATTTTTGACACTGGGCGATGTTTGGTGGCAGGCTTGCATCTTCCCAGGCTCACGTTGAGCCAAAGAGAGAGAGAGCGAGCGAGCAAGCATTTTCATTAAACCCACACCATCCCATGATCCTCTCTAAACCTTGTGTGTATCCCTGCCCCAGTCATTGCTGTTGGATAGAATTATGAAATTAAGTGAATACTTCTTACATTTATCATTAAAATACGATCGTGAGTGTAGCTGGAATTTAATTACCTAGAAACTAAGTTAAGTGCTTTATGTTAAAAAGTTCAAGTGGAAATTTTATGTATAAAGCCATTGAAACAGAAGCCCAAGATGACAGCCTTTGAGCAGAGAAGCAACATTAAATGGTATTGTGCCAACCATAGTTTTAAACAGTGTTTCATAATTTGTTAGGAACTCTGAGAATATTAAGAGTACTGAATTTCTAGGTAAAGCAGTTAGGGAAAAAGTCCCAACGTTTGCTCTAGTTAGTAGAGTTTTGACTCCTTGGCACTTGTGCTTGCTAATTTGGAGAAGACAGCCCCATACAGCAGTGATTTTCAACCTTTTGCAGCTAATGGCACACACAGACTAATGACTAAAATTCTGCAGCATACCCAAAAATATATTTTCTGCTGATCTGACAAAAAAAATAGGTATAATTTTGATTCATTCACACCGGATGGCTATTGCTGTGTTGGCTGTTGTCATTGTTTAATTTGACAATCTAAGGGAAAAGAGGTCAGTGCCCCTGACTAAATAGTCAGGTAGTGCATGTTTTAAAAATTCTTGCGGCACGCTGGGTGAAAATCGCTGCTGTACAGTGTTGAAATACCAAATTATGTGGGAAACCGAGAACCCCTTGTGCTGAGGCACAAAGGCACAATAAATATAGAACTGGTACCTTAGAGGTTCACCTGATTCTTCAGGATACGCCTCTGTGCAGTGCCTGGATGGACCATTTGGAATTTGAAAGTCAAGTTTGTTGTCATTCCTCTAGCACTTGGTTTCACTTGTTTTTCCCATGTCTGTGGCTTCGAATAGACACCAATATCCTTGTGACTAGAAACAGTTACTTCACTTTGGTTGTATTGCTTTCTGGGGTAGGATAGAGGAAGCGCTCAGATGGTCACTAAATGGGTGAGTGAGTGATTTAGAGAAGACGGACCACATGGCATATACCCAGGAGACTAAACCTGTCCTACAAGACAGCTTAACTTGATTACAATAATATTACTTTAATTCAAGTCAAATTATTTCCCTCCAAACATCATGTTCTCGGTGCTCTAGGTTCTACGTTTGCATGCATCCTTCCTCTAAAGGACTAAGGTCCCTTCCTTGTTCAGGGCTGCCTTTGCTGGTATATCTACAGGTTATATTTTAATGTTTCAGAAAGGGTGCCGTCTGGACTGAGACCAAGTAAGATTAGTCAGAATATTCAGGATTTGTAATGAAAAAATATGTAGCACTACTGTTGGCGCTAAGTTTTTTCCACAGGCAAATTATTCACACTGCATAACAATTCAAAGTTCATGGCCACCGTGGAACTGAGGAGCCCCAGCAGAGCGTCACTTCCCTTGAAAATGTTCCTATATCACAGTGAGAGTCCTGGCCTGGCTCCCTGGCTGAGATTCCTCACCCAGAATCCCCATCGCCAGTGCCTGCCCTTCAAACCTCCTCATTTCCCAGCTGGATTTGGGAGCGACAAAGCAGGAAGAGCCCATTGGGTTCTCTGGTTTTTGGTAGCATGACCCAGTTGCTTCAAAGAATTGTTTTTAACAGCTTTGAGATGTGTACTTTAAGCGCTGTTTCTCCAGAGTCTGACGTCTGCCTGCCAAGGCGGGAGAGACAGGGTGGTTCCTGGGATGAGGGAGACAGGCTTGGTGTCTGCCCTTAGGGGGCTTATGGTCTAGTGAAGAAGACATGGCAGAGAAGCTGTTGGATGGGTGATGAGTGTTGAGAAAGGGCAAGTAAAGGGTGCTGGAGGCTGGAAAACTGGAGGCACCAACCCGGTCTGAGGGGTCAGAGGAGAACAGGGAGTTGGCTGGGTGCAAGCTGGGGAAGAAAACTGTTTCACATGGAAGGCACCCTGTGCACAAACCCCCACAGGTGGGAGAGCAGTTACGTTTGAGGAGCTACCAAAGGCCAGCGGGGCTGCAGTAATGACATAAAGGAGAGGCATCTCCTGCGTGGCTGAAGAGGGAGGCTCCCTGGCTGGGTAATTCATTGGTTAGAGCATCATCGTGTTACACTGAGGTTGCGGGTTTGAACCCTGGTCAGGGCACACACAAGATCAACCAATGAATGTGTCAATAAGTGGAACAACAAATTGATGGGTTGTCTTTTTTTTTTCCCCTCTCTTCCTTACTCTCCAAAATCAATTAAAAAATAAATAAAACATTACATAAAAGAAATAGGCAATTAGGTGATGGGAGATCCTGAGAGCTACAATAAGGATTTTGGCCTTTAATCCCAGAACACGAATTAAGACTCGAAGGATTTGTAAACTGAGAAATGACCTGATAAGATTTTCTCATTCTGAACAGCTGCCTATTTCCCCCCCGTGGTACTCTATCACCCCTAACAGTCCCTCTAACATCGTCATGAGGATACTATCCAAGGTGCGTCAAGTGTTGTCATTGTGAGTCCCCTCACTGTCAGGCAGCAAGCAGAGTGGCCCACACCCAACCCTACTTTCCAAAGTGGAGCATCGCCTCTGAAGTTTAACCAGAAGAAAGAGGGGCAGGCGCAGGCATGCGCATGCCCCCCACGCCCCGCCTCTCCTGGCCCATCTGGCGTGCGGTGCGCCCTCCGACGTGACTGTATTGGGCAGGGCCCCGCCAGAAGCCAGAAGTGGGAGACAAAAAGGAAGGACCTAAAACATGTAACAGGTCCTTTTCCTCCAAAGTTTCTTTTTCTACTTTCCTCCCCAACTACAGGAAGATTTCTTTTTTTTTTTTTTTCTTGAAAAGAGAAGAACATTGTTGAGGTTCTCAGAGTTAGAACAAGCAAAATGGGAGAGCTTCAGAAAAATTATTTATATTGTTCATCTATACGTATTTGTGTGTGTCTGCTTAAGTACACATAATAGGTGCTCTCTTTCATATGGTATAATAATGGGATGACTACCAGTGGTCCCCAACCTTTCTGGCACCAGGGACCGGTTTCGTGGAAGACAGTTTTTCCATGGATGGAGGGGGTGGGGATGGTTTCAGGATGATTCGAGCGCATTACAGTCAAGCTCACCTCCTGCTGTGCGGCCCGGTTCCTAACAGGGCCGGCCAGGACGGGTCCTCGGCCTGGAAGTTGGGGACCCCTGGACTAAGTGGCATGTTCTGTGAGTTACTGTCCAAGTTCTCTACATGCTGCACCAGCTTCGGTGGAGTCGATAAAGGTCGAAGGGACTCTCCCACGGTGGAATTAGCAGGCTAGAGAGGACATGATGCACAGGTTACAATCATGAGAATGGGATTGCCACCAGAGGAAACTAAAACATGCGCTGCGTTAGAGGTTCCCCGCTAACTGCTGTTAAAGACAAGACAGCAGGCCTGCAATGGAGGTGCTTATGCTAAGCACCCCATGGTCAAACGCAGGCCTAACTTAATTACAGCTTGGCTTTTAGAGGAATGAAATCTTAAACCAGTCACTCAGCCATCCCCGATCGGCACTAGTCAGGTCGTCCTCCCGGCAGGCCCTGCCGTCCCCTGGTGAAAAGGCACCTTGCGTTAACCTGCTTTCCGCCTGCCCTGGTGTAACTCCCTTGTCTCTCCTCCCTTCTGCCTATAAAAGTCTGTCATTTGTACAGCTCCTCGGAGCTCCTTCCGGCCTGTTAGATTGGATGCTGCCTGATTCCAATTGACTTTTGCTCAAATAAACTCTTGAAATTGTGACTATGCCTCAGTTTGTCTCTTAACGGCCCTGGTGTCAGAAGAGGAAACCGAAGGAGACCCCAGTAACCCCCAGGAGCAACCAGCGCCTGCAGAGGCAGCTGTGAGCCCCTCAGGCTCACTCTTCTCTCACTGCCTCTCCCTGGAAATCAAGGGTAAGCCCCTCTGGGATCCTAGCTCCGCAGTGTCTGCATTTGGAGTTTTCACACTTTATATGAGCAGTCCTTTTTCTGGGATTGGATTTGAAAACAGGTGGGAGGTAGACTGGGCCTGGCTTAGAAACCAGACTGTGTCTGGGGTCGCACCGAGTCCTGCTTAAGCTGCACCGGGGCCAGTATGAGGCCTCAGCTGAGTTAAATTTTGTTTTAAGGCTGAGCAAGCCTGCCTTCCTTCCAAGACAACCTTGAAGTGCCGTGGCCACAGCGGAGAAGGTTCAACCGAAACGAACTTATCCATTTATGAGGGGCCCTGGAAGAAACGGTGTCTCAGCCCAGCACTCACCATGAAGAGTAGAGGGAACGTTATTTTTCCTCTTTAGGGGTTTCTGGTGACTAGGACGAGCCTGGCTGGGATACCCCACAGCCTGCAGAGGAAATCCTGGGAAACCGGCAGGAGCTGGCAAAGGTGAGAATTCTTTCCAAAGTAGCTCTCCCATCCCTGCCTCTGTGGTCCAGAGAGGAAGGTAAAATTCCACTTCTCCTCCTCCGAATTTAGATTGACAGGCAAGAAGACATTTGTAAGAATATTATCTTTGAAATGTGACTTGTGAATTTGCTTTCAGGGACCCATTGGCTGTCCCTCCTGCCTCTCACAGGGACAGCTCTTGCCTTCTTATTTGTCTCATTCTGTGTCCTGAGAAGCTGGCTTGGCCGCCATCAGGTTGGGGTGGCAAGAAAGATGATATTTAGCT